GCGGTCGTAGACTCTTTTCGGACTTAGGACATTATTATACTTGTTTGTTTTAAATACCCGGTGCCCGCTTCTATGTAATTTTTTTCACGATAATGATTCATGTACCATACGACACGGACTTGCTCGAGACTCAGTACATAGAAGAACCGACGCGGGCTATTCTCCTTACTGTACATCTCTCACTCGCTAGGAGTGGTGGGGAGACCTACATACTTATGACCAAACCGCTCTAAAACCTGGGCTCGAATCCAGCCTGTCTATGAAAGCAAGCTTATCGGTAGACATGACAGCCTTGCCTCTATAGACAGACCAGTCACTGGTCTATCTAAAACCCCGCCGCAGCGGGATCCTCTCGTTTTAAACAGATGTTACAAACGCCTTCATCCCCGCATCTGTATATATTGTCCAAGCACCGCAAGCGAATTCAAAATTGTACAACAATACCACCAGAACAAGACACCACTCAAATAGAGATTATACCATAATAAAACAAGCTACCGAGGCGGACCATTAAATCTACTCTCGTCCACCCACTGCGTCTGGGGCCCACCGGAACCGTTGTACGGGCCCTGCGGGGCGGCGTAGCTGCGCAATGCCGCTCGTCAGTTCGGTTTTGCTAAGTATGCAGATGTAGTCCTTACCCAGCGCCGTTCCCCATGGTCGGAGGCGGCCCAGAACGGTCGTAGCTCCCCAGTCGCTGGTGGCGCATGTCCGGACCCGGCGCAACCATAATCGGGGGAGGATACCCGGTCCCGGCGTAGTCCGGTCGGCGGCCTCTGCAGCACCGCAGTATCGCTAAGGCGTCGTTTCAGCGTCGCGCTCGCCCATTCAGCATAATAATAGAAACACGCACCGCTGACAAAGACCCAGAGGAGCAGAATCGCGACGAGCCCGGCGACGATCGCGACCGGGATGGCAATCTGCAGGTTCTGCGTGAACCATGCCTGAACGGAACACACACGTTGGTCAGGAGTGCAGTTCGGAGAGAGAGAGGGCGGTGTGTTACCTTGGCGGTACTCAAGAGCCCGTTTGACTGGCACTTGCCGCTCGCGCAAATCCCGCCGTATCCTGGACGACTAAGATTGAGCAAAAAAAATTGGCGACAGGGAAGGAAACGCACCGCACGGCGAGCCGTCGACAAGGAGGGCGGTGAGCAGGATGCACTGATTTGACTGCGTCGGGTCCTGGCACGAGACCTGGCAGGTCTGGGAGCTCGTATTCGGGCACTCTTGTGTGAGGTTCATGGATGATCCGAGCTGCTGGCATTGTACTGGCAAGACAAGCATAATATTAAGATTGTTTTTGAAGAGTAAAATAAATGGTAGCACGTACAGGCCACAGATGTGCACTGTCCACTTGCGCAGGCGAGGTTGTTCGCCCCACAGCTCTGGCCTGGTCAACGAGGTGATGAGCGAGGCTCCAAAAAAAAATTGCGATTGAAAGCGCACCGTTGGGTTTGACCACATCCGCCGGACACGCCGACGAAGTCCCCGGGCACGTCTCCGCCACATCACACTGCGCGTCCTTCGCCGGGCGGCACACCTGCGACGTCGGCGCAAACGCACACTGCGGCGTGCAACACGGGCTGCTATCCGGGTCGCACACTGCGCCGTTCGTGAACTTGCACGTCTTGGAGTCGCAGCACGGCGACGTGACGTCCTCGCCCGGGTCGCAGTCCTCGCCCTGCTCGACGATCCCGTTGCCGCACATCTGCAGCGAGATCGTCTCGACGGCGTTGCTGGGGTCCTGCAGACAACTCGTGTTGGTGCGCGATGTGCCGGTCATCAGCGAGCCTGGGGGGATGTTATCAACGTGGAATGCCCTAACAGAAATTGAGACGAACAGATATTTCCTAGACTGCATGGGGAGAATAATTTCTCTCCCTTCTGCGCGACGGGACTCATGATGAACTGGGCATTGGCATCGCAGGAGCTAGCGGATTGCGGACAGCAAGCACTCGTCGAGTTGCACCCGTCCGCGCACTAGAATTGGTTAGAGTTATTCAGTAAACCGCTCACTCGGAAACCGATTTTTTACTCACGTCATGCTACAATCAAATATCGCCAATCAGACAACAGTCCTGAAAATCAAGAAACGAGGCGAACGTACGATGGCACCAAAGTTGTGGCCGATCTCATGTGCGACGACTTGCCATTCAGTGAGGCCCGCGGTGGAGACGGCCGTGCCCGACACAACGGACGGGGCGGTGCCAGATGCGGACTGCGAGCATCTGAAGGGCGGTGAATATGCTGCGGAGGAAATAGAGGACGGCGTACAGTGTTGCGAGCCATGCGATACCGACTTCCGAGCCGGTAGGGCAACCGCTCATCAGATGCCACAGCCCAACGCCGTCGGAGCCCTTGTCCCCGCGCCATTGCGAGAACAACGACAGCCGGTCGTTGAGCGTGACATTGTTGCAGTCGACGTTCCACGGGAAAGACGCGTTTACCGGGTTCGGGCACCTGCACAACTGAGACACTGGTAAACCCAGGGGAAAAAAACTCACGTCTCGTCCTGAATCTGGAGCTCGACGATCCCGAGACTGACGTTGAAAGTCGACTTGTACAGCGAGCTGGCGGAATTCCAGTTTGTCAGGATCTGGGTCGTGGCGTTGGAATGGGAGCCGTATTTCTGGGTGTACTCGCAGTCGGCCGCAACGCCCATGTAGAGCTGCAAGATTCAATGGGCAAGCTGAATGGGACGTCGATGGTCATGGAACCTACCACTTTCTGGGTGCTCGGACATCCGGTGTTTTGGCCGATGTTGTTGATGAAGCTTGAAAGAGGTCAGCGCGACGAACAGTGCGAGGGAAGGACCACGCACTTGGTGCCCATCTGAGTACCCACGACATCGTCCCTCTTGGAAAAGTTCCCGAGGAAGTTGATGGGGTTCTCGAACCACGGAGCTGCTGCTGGTTTCAGGAGGATGGGGTTCTGCGCGGGGTCTGTGTTGTAGGACATATCGTCGTGCCCGCAAGTCTGCGGCGCGGGCGCGGGGGTCGCGTGCTCGCCCGTGAGCGCAAAGTGCTCTTCCTCAGCGGTCATCATGTCCGACTCTCGCCAGATGACCAACTCCGAGTCGACGATATCCAGTGGCTCCGAGGCCACAGCATCCAAGGGGCGCTTGTGGCGCAGATAGTTGTCCTTGGTCGATACGTGGTACGTGACGCCTTTGACGGTGAACGCACCCTCGAAGACGGGTGCGATGTTCTGGCCAATGTCTCCTTGGTGGTGGACCATGATTCGGGCCCAGCCAAGCTCGGCAGGGTGGGGAGTGGGCACAACGCCGGCCGCGTCCTCGCGCATCCGTGTCGCGGAGTGGTCGGCATGGATGACTTCGCCCCAATACGCCTTGACCGACTCACGCAGGAGGGGCTTCGTGCGGGAGATGTAGGTGTTCCCGTCGGGTCCGGTCGAGTAGTAGTTGATTCGCGCGGCGGGGTGGATGAGATGGTCATTCGGACGGAGATGGAGGTGGAACGTTTCGTCAAAGGCAGCAATCTTGAGCCGGAACGAGTCGTCGTATCGGAGAGTCGGCGAACGAGGCAGCAGGGGCGCCCGTTGGCTGAACGGCGAGGCGGTTGGCGGAGAGACCTGGCGGCGAGGCAGAATCTCCAGAGCCAGGGTCGAAGGATTGGCCAAGCGCTTCAACGGGCTCGGAGAAACGCTGTGAGCTGTAACTCTTTTCAGTACGTCAGAAAGACAAAACTTGTTTGAGCTGACCGGCCGCTGGGTCTATCCATGTGAGGGAAAAGGTAACGACCAGCGCCAAAAAGCTAAGGTAGCAATGCATGAAGGAGAGAAACCGCCTGCGCTTGTTATCAAATCAATCACTCTTGTGTGGCCAAGTGCACTGGGCGGACTCACCCGCGGACAGAAGAGACCACAGCAAAGAAGGGAACGAAGAAAGGAGCGAAGCGTAGCGTACACGGTATTACTTGCAGCGCTCAGGATGATGCCGATACGGCCGCGGTTACCATGTAAACTCTTGACCATCATCACCGAGTTGCATCGCTGGCCAGTCGCGTCCCCATACAGTGGGCCTCCGTCGGCACCCCCAAGCCACCTTGGTTTTCTTGGTTCACTGGGTCCCTCACTTTCAAGTTTTCGCGACGCGACGCGCTCAGATCAAACGACCATCTATCTGTCGAGGCTGGCTGTCATTCTCTCCTTCGAGCCCTCTGGACGATTTTGCAGCATTTCACCAGGCCTGGGCATCTCATCCTCAGTCGACTCAGCTTTACGAAGCCGACGGCCGCAGATTTCTCAAATGTTTCCGTGCAATGGGTCCAATTGTCCTGGAGTCCTGGACGAAACTTGCGGGAAGAAACCTTATCCGAGTTCACCGACTACCCGCACGATTCTACTCTGCGGTCGCGGCTTAGGCTTACTCGCCGTCGACATCTGTCTTATGCTCGGGTCCTCACAAGATCTTGTCCGACGGGATTCTCCACGTCGAGTGTGCCATTCAGAGTCAGAGCGGGCCGCCCCTGTTCGCCGTCCCAGAGACTTGGGGAACCTTACTATGGAGCGGCGGTGCACAGCGCGCGCCCCCACAGAGGGAAAGGCGTTATTTTGCCTCCAGGGAACAGAAGAGAGCGATCCGTATCTCTCTATCAAATTTCCGCACCGCCCGTTCTGTCGACTGAACAGATATTGTATTCAGATCTCTTGAGTTTGTATCGGACACGAGCCCGTGGAGACGCGGGACTTACCCGGAAGTTGAACATTGAACTTGTGAGCAGGTGTATCCCGACAGCAAGGCCGGTCCCAGCGAGTAATTGGAGGAAGATCTGAGCTGTCCGCCTCACAAGCCGATTTCTCCACGAGTGCCTGTCTGTCCCGACCAACCTATTCGAATTTTACTACTGCTCTCCTCTCTAGTTGTTTGGTGAGCCAGTAATTCTATTCAAGGCAGTATATAAAAATGGGTCGCGATGTAGTTGGGTTGGGAAGACACATCGACAGACCTAAAAGAAAAAGAATCTCCGCGGCGTTACAAGGCCTGACCCTAATTTGAACAGGGAACATCCCATAAGTGATCACGAACCGTGCAAGTAGAAAGGACATGTTACCATTACACCACCAGGCCGATACACAAAGATGAAATCTCCAATCCTGATCACCTGTTTCCTGATGTAGTGGACTGAGAACGACATGAGGCGTAGTATCCTGCTATTACTTACAATGTGTAGCCAGGCCCACTGCCGCTTTGTTGTTGGCTTTCTTGCACTTTTCTTGAAAGTTCACTCGGGGCAGGAAAACGGAAAGGTTCCGGAAAGAAAAGAAAAGAAAAACCAAAAAAACGGCTCGTTACGACATATACGGCCTGACCCTGAGTCGAACAGGGAACTTCCTCGAAAATGGTGCGGTATCCTCAAGGCATGGAGGATGTGTAACCATTACACTACCAGGCCGCTCGGTTATTTTAATTTCCAGTGCTAAGGTTCTCATGAGATCAAGTCCGCTCAGCTCTTGAAGAGGGGCGACTTCACTACTGGTGCCATCCTCGACCTCTCGCCGGGACCAACGCCTCAAGTCGAACTCTTTCCATATAATACACATTCGCGATCATATTTTAGTTTTTACGCCGACCTCACTTTCATATTCTGATTCTCAACCCCTTGAGAAAAAGGCCTTCGTCGCCCCATCATATTGATTCAAGTAAGTTCGGCTCCTGGTAATGTACACGGACACAGTAGTAAAAACACACAAACGGGAGGGCAGGGTATGAGGGGGACCAAGGTCATGGCATCAACTGGTATTAATGAGACGCGCCGGGCGAGACGCTACCAGAACAAGTGGGAGAGATAAGTAGAGGCATCTAGTTCGAGTCCGTAGCATACTCATCGCTACCACTCATAGTTGACGAGCCTGTAGGGTGGAGGTTAGTGATGAGAGCGGGGACGAGAGCGGAGCGGAGCGAACCTTGAGCGTCCGTTTCCCTCCTTTCCCGAACCCGCCGAATCCTCCCTTGGCGGCGGCGGCTCCCTTGGCAGCGGCAGCACCCTTAGCGGCGGCAGCCCCAGCGGCACCCTTCGCGGCGGTCGCAGCCGAAGCGGTAGCAAGGGGAGCACCAGTCGCAGCAGAAGCGGCGGCAGCACCGGCGGCAACAGATGTCGAAGCGGCAGCGGCGCCGTTGCCAGCGGCAGCAGCGGCGCCCTTTCCGGCGGCAGCAGCGGCACCCTTTCCAGCTCCGGCGGCAGCGGCTCCGGCTGCCCCGGCAGCGGCTCCAGCTCCGGCGGCTCCGGCGGCTATGAACCAAGTTAATATTTTAGGTAGAGGAGAGATGCTCGAACGAACCAGCACCCCCAGCAGCAGCTCCGTTGGCGGACGCGGTGAACTATGCAAACATAACATGAGTCATGACCAGAGGAGGGGGAAGAGGAGAACGCACGTAGACACAGTCGTCTAGAGAACTGCGCAAAAATAACACATAAGCCATGGCCAGAGGAAGGGGAAAAGAACGCAAACGTACCCATGCTGGGCTACAGGCACTATAGCCGGTTGATGGGTAGACGAGGAGACGATCGTGCACATGCGGTAGGCACCAGCAGCGAGGCCTGCAGCGACGGGGACAACGACGTTGCCTTGGCCGTCTGCGGCGTCGTCAACACCCTTGAAGAAGATGAACTTTTGGGGGTCGCTGATAGTGGTGGTGGTGATCGCGTCGATGGCCTCAACGACGACGTGGGTGTGGCCGACGATCTGGCCCTGGGCGTTGAGCGTCTGGGGGTTGGCAAAGTACGTCTTCTGAGCGTTGGTGAACGTGCCGAGCTGAATGCCTTGCGTCTTGAGGGTGATGTTGAAAGGCGTGGTGGCAGCGATGGTGTCGAGGTTCGCAGGCGACTCTGGATAAAGGCAAAAGAAATGAGTTTCGGTCATCTCAACAGAGCAGATACGAACGGAATTTAGAGGAGGGCATGTTCTCTACCGACGGGATGGAACCAATGGGTATCGGGTTGCAGGACCCAGTGGTCGTTTGAAGACCGTTGGTGATGGGAGTCTGGGGCAGGGTCGTCGCGCAGAAGTTGGCAAAGTTGTTCTTCGAGAGGACGGCAGCGCTCTGGCCGGCAACGGGCGGGTTTTGACCTTGAACGAACTGTCAGTCTAGAAGGATTATACAAGGGACGCGAACACGAACCGTCATCAGTGTTCTGGATAACAGACGGGTCTATCGTCGTTGACGACTGGAGGTCTCCTCCACCTGCTGCGGCGGCCGGAGGGGGAGCGGCGGCGGCAGCGCCAGTGCCAGCTAGGTTATTTAATCGCGTCAGATTTATCAGGCAATTTTGTTCAACAAAACACACCTGCTGCGGTCGCGGTCGCGGCGGCGGCTGTCGTACTGGCGGCAGCTGCTCCGGCTCCGGCTCCGCCTTGACCACCCTGGCCCTGCTGGCCTTTCCCACCACCGAATTTGCCGCCTTGCGCACGCTGTGACACGGAATGAGCGGTGATAACGGTGTGACGTGTGACAGGGCTTACCCCGAATCGAGCTGCGCGACCCTCAGGAACCGCGAGCGCCGACACGCTGGAGATCAAGGGCAAAACCACAAGGAGAGCTGAGAGAGAGCCTGCAAACTTCATGTTGGGCGATGATCGTGATTTCTCGGAAATCTATGAAAGAATGTGGTTGAGTGGGACCGTTGAAGAGCCGACTAATGAGGACGATGAGACTCTGCATTGAACAGAAAGGAAATGACCTGCACGAAAGCAGCACGGCTGCGAAGCAAAAAAAAAGACGAAGGGGGTGGAAGGTGGGTGAGTGGAGAACTGGGTGAGAAAAGCGAGGTGGGGCCCTTTTATTAGCTATCAGTCGGCACTTCAGGCATGTTTCCACGGCGACTCAATAGGAACAACTATTTCGAGCCAGTGTAGGTATCCAATCAGGGCGCCCGAATCATTCCATAAAGACAACAGTAACAGCGGACCTTTTCTGATTCGGATTTATGGGGCGTACAGGCACCCAGGACTAGGGATCCCGTCAATATCTGCCATGTACGCGGTGTTGAATGTTTTTTTAGACATACAAAGCTATTTCTGTCCACTAAAATTTATTCTTTCCCCCTTTGGCCTTCTCTACAGCACACATGAACGAGGCGAGGGTGTCTACCTCTTCACGTCCGTTGATGGACGCAAGGTCGCGGAAATGGCGTTCTGCAATTCCGGCAAGCACGCCGTGAAGTTCGTCCAGGTCCGCCAGGATCGGCGGCCGGGTCGGCATTTCTTCCTCCACCAGCCGAGAACTGCGTCTTCGGGTCTGATCTTTTGATTCGCGTCGCGGACGATTCGCAGGAGTTGTCGGCGGCGGACTGGGAACCCTCGATGGCTGGCGCACAGGGTTATCGAGTACCGCCGGTGGTGGGGGGTCACTTGCAAGCAAAGGTGAAGGATACACAGGAGGTACGAGGTCGAATTGCGTCAGGTAGCGGTACAACACTGGTGAGGCACGGTGAGTGCCCTAGACAGTCGGAAATACCATCCTATAACGAACCTGGCGTAGGCATCTTGATAAACTCCACCTGCAACGGTCATCAGACAACTGATGATTGAGTGGCTGAATGGATAGATTTGCTCACCAAGGAGACCCTGGATTCACTGTCCATGTCTCTGCGCGCATGTGCTGTGACAGCCAGCGTCGGGTCGACGCGCTTTCGCTTCACCCGAGGCTCACCGTCCGCCTTGTCGACGGCGTGCCTTTTTGCGCCCGCACCAGTCAACGGCGGCCCAAAGTACGCCGCGTCGTCGTTGGCCTTCTTACGCGCCTGTGGCCGTGATCGTGAGCCAGTTGCCGATACTTGGGATGCAGACATGGCGACAACAACGAGTGTGTAGCGCGTGTTACGCCGTGTATCGAGATCGGAGGGTGTAGATGAGGTGCAGCGTCACGTCCCAATTCGGCGATCAATATCATCATCCCATGCCCGATATCCCCAATTTACGGATCAGAACTTATAATTGGCCGTCTATACTTAGAACAATCTAAGCGGTCTCCATCCTTGCAGCCCGAGTGAGAATGTGCAAGAGGTGCATCGTATTAGACAAAAAAATCGCCCCTTTGCGCCTCCGTACGAGATGCAGAGCAGAAGAAAACTCGAGCGCCGAAAGAGCGCAAATTTTGGCACCCTTCAATCATTCGCTGTCCGTTGACCGTACGTCTGTTTCGATTGGCCGTGACAAGATTATTATTATACGGCTTGCCGGATAGATGCGCGGAGATGTATCACCTCAAACAGTTTCGGTCTATACTCTGTGTCGCTCGGCGCCAAGAGGTGGGCGGAAGAAAAATAAATGATATCATGCTCCTATCGCTTCATTCCTCTCCAGAAAAGGTGTTTCCGACGAAAATTATTTTTTCCCTTCATTGGTGAGAGCTGCCGGGTCGGTTATACCATCATTTCGCTGTTTTCTCAGAAATGGATCATGCAAATAAATCCAGGATAAATCCCAGTGGATAGCTGGTGGCGTATTATGGGGGGGTCTGGGTGGTTTTTCTGTGACCAGCTGCACCTCATCCTCCAATATCAGGGCCAGATCAAATGCGGTCCATAAGAGGACGTCGGATCATTTTCGGTTTTAGACGCCGACCCGATGCAATTTTTTCACAAAAAGTACCTAGGGAGGTCGGGAAGACAGAGAAATGGGGGGGTCTGGGTACTTTTTCAGTCTGCCTAGGCTGCAGTGCGTGAACAATGAGCGGAATATGGCACACCGGTCCGATCGCCGAAGAGAGCATGATATCTCGGCTATTTCTTCCGCCCACCTCTTGCTCGGCGCACAAAATATTCGCATGGGAATTTCAGAGGTTGAAATCGAGTTACAAAAACCCTTGGAATGTCACGGTCGCCCAGGCTGAGCCGCTGAGCAAGGCGCGGAATCCACATCTGGCAGCGACCTGTGTTGCACAATTGGACCCATCGTGGCTGCGGTAACAACTTCCGTTGAATTGAACCCCGGGATTGCGATGCAGCCAAGACAGTGGCCGAACCCTCGCACAAGCCTGTCGAAACAAATTGAGAGACCACTCATCCGCAAGACCGAAAAGGACATTTTACTTTAGCATTTATGGCTGTCCAATCCGAGGCGTCGATC